GAACATTTTTACCGTGATAATGTTTTTGGCCATATCTCCCAGTCCTACTCTTAGCAACTGATTTCTTAAGTCCATTACTATAAACACTGGGCAGCTAAGATGTTTACAGCATAATGTATTTCTCCCTGAAACCAAAGTTTCTCGCAAAACTCTTTGAAAACTAAGTTCCACAGTCCCACGGTTCTTTCCAAGCCTACTACCCTCTGACATTATGGAAAAATAGTGCACTGACAGGATAAAGCTGACTGGGCACAGTTGATTCAACAGGTAATCTGTTGAATGCCAAGCCTGGGAAGAAAATAAAACAAAAGAAGAAACCAGTATATTCCACTACCCAACAGAACAATGGCTCTGTGCAGCTTTTAAGTGGAAAGCTGGGATAAGTCAGAAGAATGTGACTTGACGTCTGGAATGTTAGAACCAAGACTTCACAGTCCATCAAAGACAGACCTCATTCTATCATTGAGTTTACGAGTCATGACACTTCACCGAGAGTAAAAGGGAAGCACATCTCTGATGGTCTGACTAGGAGTATCTAGTCACCATAGAACTCCATTTTCAGTGGTTGAAGACAACCTGACGCAGAGCTACACTACATCAAATCCTGAGACCTTACTTCCTGTTCTTCATATGGTCTCATATTTACACGACCACATTCCAGCTGGACAACACAAGTCCTCGTGCTACTTATGTAACAACAGCTTTCCTTGGTGGGATGTGCTGGAATGAGGTGTGGCATCTTAGGCTCAGCATCCAGGAAAAACGCACATGTTTTTCCAAGCTCTACAAGAGGAAAGGCATATACTGTACTCCCACATGCAACCTGATCCAAAGCAGGTGTCGCAGATTGTACTGCTTCCAGTGAAGGTCATACAAACTACTAGCTTATAACTTTCATAATAGACACTCTGGGTTGACATGTTTATCAGTATATTTAATTCACCTCTGGCACATCTAACGAAATGTCCATGTACCTGCAAAAAAGTTGAGTGACAAGTTTCTTTGGATGCTCAAAGTTCAAGTTACACAAAATGGAAATGGCATTTGTCTTCTTTGTTCACAAAGAAACTAGAAAAGGTTAAACTTTAAAAGCTTCCCTAAGTTATGATTTAATGCAAAGAAGACTGCAGATAGATGGCAGTGAAGCAGCAATTCTTATTTAATTAACTACAGAAATAAAAGTTGCAAAGGATTTAAAAAAGGGCTCTTGGTGGCTTTGGCAAGAAGGCAGGAGAAACAGGCTTTTTGATGAGCAACACTTCCTGGGACAGTTCATGTCTACAGACTGTCTGGAAGATGATCTTAAGCTGCAGGTCACAGTTAATTATCCAAAAGCTGACCACACAATGAAGAACCTGCAGGGTGTGGAAACTTACTCCACCTGGTGACATCACAACCAACCACCAAATGTAAGTTTGTGGGTTAAAAAGTACTGCACAACTTTCTGAGCTTGCTCTCACTCAAAGACTGGAAACTTGGCAAACAGACAATAAATCCTCATAAACTTAAAACTTTTGTCAGAAAAGACTGGTTAACAGAGAGCACATATGTAAAACAGAATTCTGCCCAAGGTCTTCCACATACACTTATATTATGAAAGTATCAGCTATGCCTGGAGACAAACAGAGTTTCTCCCCACCTGTCTGACTTGCCTGAACCACATTCTGACTTTGGGCATGAACATTTACAATTTGGTTTAGCTCAGCACTGACAATGAAGTCCCTCCTGGAGAACTGTCTGCCAACAATGTGCCAAGAGAACTCTCTCCTTCACCATCAGCAGCCTTCTCTCTTTCTGCAGGGGAGTTCCAAGAATCCATTGTTGTTGGATGAGTATAAATTAGTATTCAATGTTATCGATCTCAAGCACTATCTTATCCTAAACACATTTTGATACCAGTGAATTCGCATTAGTAAAAGTATTGACTCATCTCTGAGTTTCTGAATGTTGAATACCTATTCATGAGTAAGAAATTGTAACCAATTAGAATTGTTTAATCCTTATATTTTTGTATCGCTTTCTAATCCTGATATATTTTTGAATTGTGGTAACTCTCAAGTAAACAAGCCACCATTTTATAGTCCAGGCAGATTGTTTCAAGTATTATTATTAGTATTCTTGTTGTTTTTGTTGGTTTAATATGCATGTTTGTTCATATCAATAAAACTAATTATTGTATATTTTGAAACTGCGTGCATACTGCCTATTATTCTGTCGATTGATTCTGATTAGCCAATAAAAAGCTCATACAATTTACTGTTCCAATTACTAAGTTGTGCCAGTAAAGTCATACAACACCACAGCAGCCTTTGGTCCACAGTTCATACATTTTCTAACCATATCCATCCAGGGTACGTGATCAGGGGAGACAGGGGAGACAAAGCCTATCCCAGCAAGCAATGGGTGAAAAGGGTGATACATCCTGGACAGGATGGCAGTCAATCCCAGGGCAGACAGTCACAAACACAACCACACTTACACCAGGGCCAGCATTTTCCCAGAAACCAATTAACCTACAGGTTTGTTTTTGGACCAAGAGAGGAAACCAAAATACTTGGTAAAAACCCACATGAACATAGAGAGAACATACATGCAAACTCCATGCAGATAGCACCCCAGGTGCAGAACAGAACCCAGGGTAATTCTAACCACTGTGTCTTCCTTTTGTCCAGTCGTGTTCACAGACTATGTAACTACTGTATAATTGACTGTAGCACATTGTGGTTACTATCAGGTTCAGAGAGCACATTGTAGAGCACTATCTTTAAGGGTTTCCTGGTCCAGACCACATGGACTAAAGTTTTAATCTAGACAGATCACTGCTTATGTACATTACACCCAAATTACATGCCTGGTCTTCTCAAACAGCTCTGCCAAACCTAATTTTGTTTCATCACTGCTTTAAAAAAAGGCCTCCGATTACTGTTTTGGTGGCCTTCTAAGCTGAGTGCTTAGAAACGTCCATATTTCTTGAATCTGTGACCACAGAGGTCTTAAACATTAAGACATAAAGCAATTAGTTCATGCTAACAATTTAATGAGGAACGTTTATAATATGTTTATCACTGTTTAAAAAAGGTTCGCTTATTTGCTTTTACCTGACTTCCACCTGACTGGCAGAGACTCTTATCAGCTCACCATGATATTGAGCTCCTAGTATTCTATTATGGTACTACTGACAAATACAGAAATGGACATGAATTAATTTGATACTAATCAATAAATGAAGGCTGCTTTTTGAACACAGCAGTGGCTTGAAGTATTGAGTGCCTTAGTATCATCTTCTCTTTCTACAAGTAGCTGCCAAGAAGCAGAGCGGAGATAGTGACTGAAGCAAGCCCTCACATAACTGGCAAGACAAAGTAAATCCTAGGGTCAATGCAGAGCTCACTTTCATTCAAGAAAAAATGGAAATTTCACTATGCCCAAGAAACAATACTGACTAGCATTGATCCAAAATGCTTGTGAAGATCCACATTTTCCACACCATGTTATTTATCTGCTTCTGACGGGGCAGCAGAAAGCCATTTTGCAAACTAAGACTAAGCAAAACCTACAGAAAGAGAAAGCTGAGGCTATAGAAAATGACCAGAATCCAAAAGAAAGATGCGAGACATAATAATTACTAATAAACAGAAATTTAAAGCATTTTTACAAACTGCAAAAGGGTTAGGGTAATGGTTAGTTTTCTTATCTTTACTGTCATGTCAAGCTGATTGAATGCAAATGTGGATTAACATAAATGTAAGTATTCAAGTCGGGATAAAAAAATCAACAATGAAGTGATTTAACACAAAATCATTTAGTCCTTTTCTCCAAGCAGTGCAGTATGCTGGTTACTTCCAATCCTCCACCACACAGTGGTAGTTTTTTATGCTTGTTATTCCAGATGATTACGCCTAAGGAAGGTTTTGTTGTGCAGAATATGGAAATGCAAGATAAACTCCAAGTTCAATTCAACAAAGTCAGTACAAGATCTTAAGCTTTAGACAAGATTCTAACTTTAAAAAAAGAGAGCATTTCACTTGCGTGCATTATGAAGTCAGATAAAATGGCACAATACGCCAAGGCTCAGTGAGCTTTGCTCTCAAAGGAGGTTTAATAAGGGTCTGCTTTCAGGCTGAGAATCCCATAGCAATATTTTAGTTTGATTGGTCATTAGTAGATATATACTAGGGGAGTCACTGAGTCTTAAGAAGGATGATAGGACATTACTGCTAGAGATAACCGCAAGCGTTTTTAATGCTGCTGGTGGAAGCATGCTACCCATCAGAATACAGATCCCTAGTGAACCATAAGCGTTTAAGGCAACGTTTAGGACATGTCTGGAACACTGCAAAATCTTGAATGGCAAGCTTTGGTATTCAAACATAGTTAAATTTTACAGCCTTTATCATTTATCCTTTGGTCTTCAAGGGACATAATCTACATTGCTGTTAAAGAATTATCAGTCAGGATTTGTGTGTTTGGGTATATTTGCATCAATTGATTAGCAGCATTAATTTAATTTTTGTTTCGCTGCATAAACTGGTTCTGCTTACTGTTTTGCAGTGATTCCAAGTCAAATAAGTAACAAGTCCACTTGCTGCTCACCTAATGACTTTCTTATAAGGTGAGAATGTGACTACTATGATGAAGATGCCCCACTCGCCAGACCTGAGCCCCATTCGATGGATGAGGTGGGACAACATGGCACCAGCGAAGGGACACATGCTTCTCATGGGAATAATTCTCATGAGAATAATGGGACAGAGTTCACAGGATACCTCATGTTGACGGCAAATATTTGTCAACAAAAATTCCTTTATGTCATGTCCATTTGAGAAAATGTCCATGTACCTGCAACCAAAAGGTTTTAATCGCCTGATAACTTCCTAATTTTGTTGTCGTTATAAGTGATGTTTCTTGTGAGGCCCAGTATATTTTTACATAGAGGCAAACCATTCTTTAACAATCATCTGTATCGACAAAAGTGTTCAAAAAGGGGTTTTTGCAGGAACCTGTTCTGCTGGCGTCTCCCGCCCCCAGGCTGCCATTCTCTTGCTGCGGCCCCAGGGTCTTCAGGATGACCTGGGTGGCTCCCAGTCTGGGCAGGGTGACATGCACCAGGGAGGGCAGGTTGTTCTTCTTGGCAAAAGACTGGCTGGTTTCTCTCCGTTTCCGCAGAAAGCCCCCTTCCGGAAAGAGAACAATCCACTTGCGGTCCCGGCTGTGGTAGTACTTGTCTAAATGATCCTTGAGGAAGCTCAGCTGCTTATCCCGGTGTGCTTTACCCTGCAGGCAAAGGCACAGTCTGTGAGACCAGCTCCCTACCGGGTACCACTCCTTTATCGGTGTCGAACAAAAGGTGCTCTGGCTACGGTTATGAACACTCGATTTTTGGCTACAGCAGCAAATGTAACAAATAAATGAGGATTCTTCAGCAAAAGGCTTTTCACAAACAGACGCAAACTTTGGAAAAAAGCTTTACACCATCCTTGTAACAGGGACTTTTTTAAAAATAAAATAATGTAGTAGATGGTAATAGGTAGTAAAAGTTCTGTAATTTCCATCATGTTACTTGATAAAACAAAAGCTTGGTGATATACTGAGGAGAGACAGTGGCAGAGGGTGTTGGGACTAGGACTGAGAAAGACAGAAAAACAGAGAACAAAAATGAAAGAGTGTGGACGAAAGGAAAGCAGACAAGAGATGCAACAGCTTATAGTGGCAGAGAAATACACCAGGCATGTGAAGCATGTCAAGTTGGCTCATAAGGAATGTGAGAGAGCAGGGTGCTGTTACACTCCCACTGCTTAGCAACAGCAGGAGCTGTGCCAGTGCCTTTCCTGAGAGGCGTGTGAGACCCCCCCACCAGAGACAGCGTACACACCCACAGTGGACTTTACATAAGTTCCCACTGGCAACACAAAGAGGGAAGGTCCACAACATTGCATTTGAGGCCAGCCTTGAAATCCTCAGGACATTTCTGTAAGGATACTATTGCTGTTGCTTAATTTTTTTCCACAAATCGTAAATGGCTTGCACAGAACATCGTTCCTATCCAGGGCAAATTTTAAGAAAAGGCTGGCATAACCATCCGGTTCTCGAGGCCTGGAATCTATCACTTAGTCTTGTAAGTAAGTCCTGAGAGATGCGCTCAGTCTCCACACAGGTTCACATGTAAAATGGCAGATTCCCACTTTGAAATTTCAGGTCTGGTCCACCTGCAGTTCTACTCTCTTACACCTGCTGGCCACACGATTAAGGGATTTTGCCCAAGCACAGCACCAAGAAAGCCGATACCTTACCTGTCTTATAAAGAAATCGCCATGGATTAAAGACACAAGGCCAAAATTTGTGTATTTGAATATATGGTCCATTAACCACATCATCTTTCGGACCACCTAAAAGAGAGAACAAGGGATTAGCGACGCCCCCACCACCACCACAAAGGTAGTCTTCCATTGCCACCATCTGTGGCAGGAAAGGTTTTCAGATGAGTGGTTGTTTAGTTTTTACTGGGAGCATTTGCAAATTTCGTTCAACTTTAAATTCCTGAAAACACATGCCAGTCTGATTAAAAGGCATTTAAAGCCCCGGTAAGATGTGTTCAGCGATGAAAAAAAAAAAACACAAACACACATCTCTTTTCAAATGAAATGGGCAAGGGGAAGAGTTTCCTTCAATGGAGGCTTGTTACTTCGTAGAGGAATAAGAAGATAATTCAGGCACATGAAGGGAGAAAAGGCTTTTTTGTTCCTGTACACTAGGATACAACTCCTATAAAATCCATATTCCAATGAAAGCTGCTTACTAGTTGCAATTAGTAATCCCTGGTGGATGAGATGAATGCTTCTTCAATTCAGTCATCAAAGTGCATTATCTTTGTTTCATTTTGTAATGGTGATGCGGAATCAGGACCCCAGTGCTTAATCAGCTGATAATTACATTGGTTGTGTGCAGTTTGTGCCTTGTTTCTTCACCATATAGAGTCTTGAGCCCCTAAAGAATGTCATTTCAGCAGCGAGGCAAATTCAGTTGCCGTATCAGCGATAGAAGGTTCCAGCCTTTGGGCATACTTGGAAGTTGCGCAGGTACATTTCAATTAGCAAATGATAAAGATATAAAAACATGACGTCTTATGCAAATAATTAGTTAAATTTAGTAACCGGGATCAGAGGTGCAACAGAACGGAGTCTGAAACGCTCAAGTACTGTTGGCTGCTGGTGCCCGCTCTTCACAGAGAGCGTTAATACTGTAAGAGGAGCAGGAGTGAGTAGGGACCCAAGCTGGGATATCTGGCTGCAATGTGGTACTTTCTGTTTGTCTGCAGACGTTAAAGAAACAAAGCCCTACTTATCAAGAGACAGACACATACCAGAGAATTTGCTTCAGTATTGCTCGATTTAAAGTTTGTTAACTTAAAGTATCACTTAGAGTGGAAGGAGTGCTGCATTTTTAAAAGACATCTTTTAATCTGGACAGCAGTTTCATATCTTGACATCTTTGCAGATTATCCCTGTAGCTGCATACCATCTTGTATTTTCACCAGCTATACATTTTCACGGCACAGTAGCAGAGGTTTTGGTTCATAAATATAAACACACAACAAAAAAATCATAGTAGTTCAGGTGGGTAGCTGCGTCAGCATGCGTAGGCTGCAAAGGAACAAGTAATAGGTTTATTCCATGCTGAAAAAAAGAAGAAAGAACACATTTCAGCAGTGGAGCCTTCTTCTCTTTCTTTTTTTTCAGCATGGAATAAACCTGTTACTTGTTTACAAAAAAATCATATATTTGTGTTCTTCACAGAGGAATCATCAACCCGTACAATATCTGTGTTGCTCTATCCTTTTAGACGATGAAACTGGGCATTTTACAAAAAAATCTTCTCCTGGAGTCTGTAAATTGTGCTTAATGGAAGTCATTTATTTAAAGAAGTCAAAAGAAAACAGAAAGGATAAAAAATTGCCATTTACAGGAATACATAGTTTTTTTTCCCCTATGTTAGATTATAGTAGAGGTTATAGTAGACGTTTCTTCTTGTTACAAAGTCTCACTGCTAATTATGGTTTATACTGCCACTACTGAAACATTATATTAAATATGACACAATTGCACATTGTTGTGATACTTTCTTGTTTGTTGTTTAGTTGACACATTGTAAATTTCACCCACATAAGAAGTACATCTAGAGCAGAAATACTGTAGTGTTGTAGTACTGAACTTGTCATACTCATGTTCAGATATAAATATAGAGAAGAAAAAATAGATCCTAGTAATAAAAAGGTAAGTGTTTATGCTCTGCGTTAGCAAATATACTGTACAGGGGATTCTGGCTTATTTACAGTAGAAGGATATGCACTTCAATTCCCTGCCTGCAGTTAATTACATTAAGTGAACTATTGATTGCAAACGAATGGCCGTCTTCAATTTTAAATGGGTTCAATTCCAGTTTGTGAGCCAATTCCAGGCTCTGTCTTTCGGAGACTAGAAGAAACGACTTTTCCTGCACTTCTGCATAAGCACCACAGGTGCAGGAAAAAAAGTCTAGTTCCTGGGGCTCACTGTCATTGAAGACATTGACTCACTCTCTAAGCTATAACACTAATTCAATGAAGCTTTACAGCTAAGGTCTGAATTTCTGTGGTTCGTAAAAGTTCTTAAATAAATCAGATCAACCAGTTTACAATCAAAATCTAGTTCTGAAACCATTCCCAAAACATTTTATGTGACCCCTAAGTTGCAGACTTAAAGTACTGGAACCAGACATCATATTTAATCTATTTAATAACTGCAATGATGATAATTTTTAAACAGTCATTGTGCATAATCTGGAAGTAGAAAGAGGAATAATTAAATAAGTGGTGGTTGCAATTAAGTGCAAACAAATGGGAACTTACTCTAAATGACTTGTACACACCCTAAATGCTTAAAGAACGTATTCAAGAAAAGAAACACCCTTTAAAAGTCTGTAACAAATGTAAGTAGCACTTAAGGGCACTGCTGAATACGGACACAAACACACTGCTGTAAATGGATTAAAACTGTTTGCTTTATCTTGCAGGTAAGCACATACTTTTTTATAGAGTAAAAATGCAAGAATTGTGGCTACAGCACAGATGCACCTGTGAGTGATTCTGTTACTCTGACAGAGCCCAAAGCCAAGGAAGAGGCAGGGAGAAGCATGAATACCGACTTAAAACCTACCGTTCCCTTGTCCTGTAGGCACATCATTAGGGTGCACACATCACCCGTTGCTTGATGGTTGACAATTACCATGGCTTCTTCTTCTGAAATAGGCTTCACGTCATCTCCCCACTCCGTTACTGGAAAAAGGAATAACCAAGGTCAAACAAACCCATTCCTGTTTCTGTATGCCACAGTTACAATTGGATTGTCTGTACAGTTCTTTTGGGACTCACCAAAACAAAAAATACCTACACACTCTACTGTATTGTCCGCACTTTTATAACTGCAAAACAAGACACATTATACTGTTTAATGTTTCCAGACTTTTCTTCCTGGCCTTGCATTAGAAACAAATGAATCCCAAACACTTGCTGTATCATACTCCTGTTTTCCTAATAACAAACACAGACCACATTTTGAAACTGACTGTATCAGTCTTGCTAAGGAGCTTTTATAATCGATCCAGGCTTCAGTTTTATTTGTAAAACAGTGAGTGGACACTGAACCAGGGAAATCTGGCTACAGTGTGCTGCTGTGTGTCCACATATCTAAAAGAAACAAAGCCCTTCTTATCAAGAGACAGACACCAGTACATTCAGGGAATTCATTTCAGTATTGCCCGGTGTGAGGTTTAACTTAAATCTTTGTAGCAGTAGACGAAGTGCTGCAGGTTTTAAAAGACAGTTTTTTATTCTGGGACAGCAGTTTCTTATTTTGACCTCGGTTTCTTCCTGAAGCTGCGCACTGTTGTATTTTTTAAAACACCACAATTAATTAGGTATTTTCACCAGCTAGACAGTTTCACAGCATGGCAGAGTTTACGGTTTGTAGTAAATATAAAAATCAGCATAAAACAATATCAACATTGTTAGAAAGACTATCTGCAGGTAAAAGGTGTTCTACTTTATGTTTTATACTGTATGTTAAAATATAACAATACATTTTACAAAGTTGTTGGCCTAAAAAGACAACACTAGTATTTACAAATTAAAGACAAAACTCCCAATGTAGTAGCAATTCAAACAGTCCTTGGACTTCATTAAACCGACACTGCAATTTAAGCATCAAAAGTGAAGATTCCTAAAACATCTGTTGAATCCAAAAAAACATCAACTCATGCAATAAGATCAGATTAAAATGAAAGTGTTACTTGTACAAGAGACCAAGTGACTAGAGATAATTAAGAAAGTGGAACACTGAAGAAGGATGTCAAGTGAGCAATTTTCCCATTTTTACACATTAACCTAATGTATTGCAAGTGAAAGCACGAGGCACAGAGCTCAAATTCACCGACTTACATGTTCTATTGATACAAGTGGAGGAGAAGCCTGATAACATCCCTCCTAAAGATGCAAAGTAAACTTCTTTCAATTTTGGCCTTAACTGCACAATACCAGAAAACACAGAATAAACTCCATCCCAGTAAGGACATTCACAACCACTGTAAAGAGAAAGGCTATTTACGAAATAACATGATAAGGGTAGCTGGGTCTTTGCAGTGTGTGTCACGATCTCAAAGCATTCACACCAGAACTTCAAAAAGGGTGTAGCTCACACCTTGTTAGGTACACTCAGGATGAAGCTTGGGACTGTCCCATCCTGTCTTGGTTGCCGACAGCCCAGGTAGTAATTTTCAGGACTGCTGCCTGATATCAGGCACACATTTGTGGTCTACAGTAAGTGTTGTTTCTGTGTTCATCAAACGTGGCACGACACTCTACACAGATTCATACATCCTGTACTCCTAGACCATATGAGCAACTTAACTCAGTCGCAAATAACCATTACCTAGAGAGAAGACAGTGGCTGGAGCTCCTCTGCCTTTGTCCACCCTTTTCATTGGCAGATAATGTCACCGGACATCTTGCTGGGCCTGCGCCCATCAAGCCCTTGTAGTACAGCTGCTCAGCCAACAAAAATATCACCCCTTCTGAAGGGACACAGATTCTTCTGATAAGAATGACGACTAAACAAAGCCTTGCAAATGTTTCTTTACCACGACATACATCTGAGTTTCACATCTGATCAAAACAGATTTGTACCGTTGTAAAATCCGAAGAGACGCAAAATTCCCCTCACAAGTTTTCGTCCATTTATTCTCATGTTGATTTGCCATTTCAACGGTTCTTTGGATAGGCTTGTCCAATTAATTTTCTTTTTTGGGGGGTTAGTACCCAAGATCTTTACCAAACTGCCAAACCAGCAGTCGTAATATAAGAACATAAAAGTCACAAATGCAAGGAAGCCATTTGGTCTATCAGGGCTGTATGGCAGGTAATAGTTTGTTAATCCAAGGATCTTTCAAGAAGTGCCTGGATGAGAAGCTGTTGTATCAGTTTCAATAACTGATTGGTTAGGTAGCTTGTTCTCTACTCCCACAACCCTTTAATTTGATAGCAAATTTAATACACATGCAGCGTTCAAATAAGTTTACAGAAACACATATCTGGCCACAGTTTGTACAACCTAAAGCCTGACATAAAACCCAAAAAGAAATCCCTCCATGCTTTCCCTATTTGTGCAAAAAATCCAAAATTACCAAAAATTAAAGCAATTGCTGAAATAAAAAAAGTAAATTGTACTGCTTAAGAGTAAATTGATCTCTACATGCTCCATCCTAAAGCATATACAGGAAACCATACTGCTTTGGATAATATTAACCCAAACAGAAGTCCAAAATGGCAAACACAACTTGTCCGAACGTTGCACAGTAGCAGTGTACACAAGACAAGAGAGAAAGGATAGTGTACAAAGGTGCAAGAATGTTGAAGAAATTATTGAAGATCATAGAGCCCGTATAAAGCGTAGACCACACTACTTTGGGCAGTAAGCATATGACCACACATAGTCAAATGTTTGGTGTTCAACAGATATTTGCTCGTATTGATCTTCTGTGGATCAAGAGTTCCTGTTGGAGAAGGGTTCACTTTATATATAGGAATACCTCTTTGCGTGTTAACAAACACTGGTGGCACCAAGGCCTGGTGTGCAATAAGTTAATAAATTCCTCTGGTTACAGATGCAAATAGTCTGCAGAAACAGCAGTACAAGTAAAAACGTACTACACTACCAATGGCCTCCTAAGCTTCTCTCTGTGTAATCCCCAACAGCTGTCTTATATCTTTATAGAAAGTTCTGAATTTGTAACAATACACAATGTTGCATAAACAGTGTTCTACGTTCACATTATTTAATTAACGACTGTCAAAATGGGAGGACACAGTGGAGCAGTGGTTCTGCTTTACAGAGCTGGGACCTGAGGTGCTATCTGTATAGAGTATGTCTGTTCTCCCCTGTGTTCCCACAGGTTTTAACCCCCAAAGTAAAAAAACGTACTGGGTTAAGTGGCTTCTGGGAAAAGTGGCCCTGATGTGAGTATGTGTGTGTTTGTGGCAGGGTGCACCCTGCAATAGACTGGCGTCCTGTCCAGGTTGTATCCCCTCCTTGCGTCTGTTGCTTGCTGGAATAGACCCCAGATCCCCCACAACCCAGTATTGGATAAACCGGTGGGCAAACAGAAACATTTTGACAGATCCATCCATCTTAGGCTGCCGATGATGGTTACTTTCCGAGAAAGTATTTAACAAATTGGGGGAACATTTTTTTAGTTTTGAGCCTGCTACCTAAACTCTTTTTATTATCAGCACCAGTTTCACAGAGCCCACTACGAGTTTTACAAACAGCACTGACAAACATAAGGCTGGGCAGCCATCTTTCAATAGGGAGTAGCCTGTTAGTTAAAGCCTGCATTCCTTGCTCCTTCCCAAATACCACAGTACCAACCACTGTTAAAACACTTAAAAGGTCCCATTGCTTATGTTTATATTGGTTTTGAGGCAGTGTTTCCGATTGGCCACCTGAAAATCAATGAAATGGTAAGTCTATAAAATGCAGTATAAGGTTATATTTGATTTTTAGACAAAAGCTATTAACCTATTAATTATAATGTATGCGAGCTGCATTATATATTCACCCATTCACCAAATTATTGTTCCTATAATTTCCAGTGTTAACTTCCATACTTTTTAAGCCGCTGGAATTTAAACAGGACATACCACAAACACCAGCTCAGTAAAGTAAAATAAAGTCAATCAGTTTACGTTGGGACTAAATGGTTTTTATAGTCTAACAATTAAATAACAACCACATATTTTAGCTTATAACATCCCTTTAAATTTACCCTTATCTGACTGTATTTCTAAGTTAAAAAATGTGATACCTGCTAAACGAGGCAATCTTCTTTACATGTAACTAAACATTTTGTATTTTGTCTCCTTATCTATGCCCTCAGGCACCATTCACAGAAGGTGCTGATCACTAATCTCAGAGCCTGTTTAACTTGTACTGCAGTTCATCACTTAATGTTGGTTTATGGTTGAAAATTTAGCCAGCTGATGCAGGAGACAATATTCATTGGAAAAGAATGGATGTGTATGAAGTCATAATTATAATAAATAATGATAAACAATACTCCCTTTACCACGAGCATCTAGTTTTTAAGTGGAATCTTGAAGGAAAGGCTGCTAATTGATTTTTCATGTTGTCTTATTTTTTTATCAAAGATGTATAATCATAGTGTATATTTAGGCAAACAACTTTAAGCAAATTCTAAGCAACAAATGACTGAGATTGTGAAGTAAAAAGGATATGTTCTGAGAAAAAGACCAATGTGCCAGAATCTGTTATCACAGATCAAGTAACACCGGAAGATTGAAAATAAAGAGCAATACCTCCTCAGGTACCCTAGAGCAATAAATATAACTATAAAAACCCTAGTTCAGAACAATCTGAAATGCAAATGTTTCACAAGTAGATGTCAATGTAAACCACTGACTGGTGACCGGTTGCTTTAATTTAAAATTATGACTATTTAATACGCAAATCAGTCACCCTGAAAAACGAATGGGCACTGGTGTTATATCAGTGATTATGGGTTTGCATCCACAATATTCAGATTGCTAATCAGGAGTCATGAAGATGTTGACTGCGATATAATGGCAAGTGGTCCCCTGACATCTGTCATGTGCTTGGAAACGCAGGTTGTCTAGTAATCTTGGCACTGCAGGTATGGCCAGTATTCTGTTGCTTGCTGGTGTATATTGCAGTATATTTTTTAAATCTACCAGCAGCTTGAGTA